ATAGGTATACCAGGGTCAAACACCATGCTTCATGCCAGATGATGCATGGTTCTGAAGAACAAGTTGCTTGGAGAAATGTTCAGAGAAATTTGGCGGTCCATTTGAGATCAAGCCAGCCGACCTTGTCGAAAGCTGTCCAAAGCTTGGAAGCTTTGTTGACATCAATCTTACAGGCCTGCTGAGCGTCCGTCTTGCGGAACTCTTTGCTAACCTTGGCACACTCGACCCGACGGACGAAAATGCGTCGCTTGCTTGTAAGATAGGTAGCGCAGTCGAGTCGAAGGTTTGCAGCAAGGCTAACCTCGTCAGGGTGAAGCAAGTGAACGTTGGCGTCGTCGCTGAGATCGATGGGGGCGCCTTTCCAGTCTACCTTCAAGCAGTTGGGCTTGTCCGGCAGCGAAGAAGTCGGGGGGCAAAAATCGGGAAGGGCAGCAAAGTCACGGTCTTCTCTGTTCGGTGCCACGATACGACGAGCAGGGTCCGGAGTCGAACTGACGCGGCGAGCATGGCGAGTCGGGGGGCTGTTGCGGATGGGCCGAGGAGCTTGAGCCTTGACAACACGTTCAGGCTTAGGGTTTGAGGATAACGAAATCCTAGGCTTGCTGACTGCTGGCTTGGAGGCCTTGACGGGTGTGGACTTGGCTGGGGCGATAGTCTGATATCGCACGACGCTATTCCAACGGGCGTGGTTCAGCTTCCGGTCGGCTCTAACCTGGTCCCTCTCCTTCTCGTACCAAGACTTCCTCTTGTTCGCAAAGAGTCTCATGACCTGCGACTTGAGTTGCAGAGCTAATTCGTAGTCTTCTCTGAGAGGAGGCGAGCCCTCGCGGAATAGGCCAGGAGGTCGCGTAACAATGTGTTCGTCGACAAGGCGTCTGTGTTCGATGGATTCGGTGCTGGGAAAGAGAGGCGGCTGTGTCGGACTGGAAGCCGCATCCTCACGAGGGTATAAGATCGGATCCTTTGCAGGAGTTCCAGGAATGGCTATGTTGCTGGACTCTGTGATGTAAGGCGAGACTGGAGGCGACATGGGCATGTGGGGCTTGGATGATTCGTTGGCGCCCGATGCAGTCTGTACCGTGTTTTGCTGACCTTGGCTGAAGCTGTCATATGGAACCGGCTCTGGAGGAGACATTAGATTGCTAATGTCGAAAGCCCTCTTCGGCTCTCTAGCCATCGTTGTCGCTTGATGCGGCGTCATGTGGTAGTTGGGCTCCATTGCTTGTGAGATTGAGGTCAGTGGAGATGGCTGCATCCTAGAGAACTTGAAAGGGATTTGAGAAGTGTGGGTTGAGTCCAAGGTTCTTGTAGGTTGCGGAGCGGCGGTATGGTTGGGTTTGTCAGCCATCTTATATGTTGTTGTTGGTGGCGAGGCGGAGTATGGAGATATCGGAGTTGGGGTATTTCGGGTGTAAGGGAAGCCGGTGGACAGCGGAAGAACAATTGCGTGTTCAGGGCTGAAGAGGGGACTGAAAAAGCAACTTTTTTGCTTTAAGCGTCTGCCTTTGAACGAGATTTGATTGACCAGCAGGTGGTTGATTGTGTTAGGAGGAGCGAGGGCCGTCAGTGGGGGATTTGTGACCCAATTGATGATGACGTTCGCTGCGGGTAGCTTGTTTGAGTGTCGCTTTACTGCGGTCGGGTGCTGACGCAGCCGTGCTGAGGATGGTGGACAGTGGGAGTAATGCGATGGACCTTTTCCTTGTGCGCTCGATGACAAGCACAAGCCTCCATTGACTTGAATTGAATCAAGAGTAGACAGACGTGTGCGTCAGTGTCAAACGAGCAGTGAGAGGGCACCGACTGGATAAATACTGCTATTTAGGGCGGGGCGAGGCGCCAGAAGCGAGTTGATATCTGTGTGGAGGGGCGGGTTGGTGGCGGTATGTACCAACTGAGAGGTTCGAGTACGGTAGTGGCGATGGGCGCTGGGCAGAGGAACCGCACAGTTTCGAGAGCTTGATATGTCGATGTTTGACACGGTAGATGGGGAGAAGTGGTAGAAAAGAAGAAGAGAGAAGGAAGCGCAAAGCGTGGCTCGGAGGGCAGCGAGAAGAATAATAAGGACTGATCTAAGGCGAAGCCTGGCGCAGAGTGGATGATGGATGACTGAAGGAGGTGAGGGCGAGTGAGTGCCAGGTCAGGTTGGGCAGGAGGATGAGGAGTAGAAGGAGGAGTAGGGTGAGGGGAGTAGACTGGGTTAGGTAGGCACGTAGGGTGAAGAAGATGGAGACGGAGGGCGTGCAGGGTGTCACAGTCCACAGTGGGTGTAAGTAGCGACGAATACGGTACCAGGCAGGACCTTCGGGAAGATAGAAGGCGGGATACGGTCGGGGGAACTTTCCAGGCACGAACGATGGCTGGAGAGTCCTGGCTGGACATGGAACATTCAGGTAAGAGGACGGGTCACAATTGAACAGCACAGGACGGGGTTGTTGGAACAGACATGGCCGAAACAGAGAAACAGAGGTCCTGATGACCCAGCCATGTCTACTTACCATCTTATCTTACACTGTCTACTTGCCCGTGAATACCGTAAGGCATGTAGACCAGAGCTGGAGTGACAAGAGACGGGATAGAGAGAAAGTAAGAGGAAAGTCCGGGGGGGGCAGGAAGGACGAGAATGCGAATGTGGAAAGTGGTTCCCTTTCCCTTCCCTCTTTCTGCTTTACAGTACACAGTACCTTAAGTGGGTGTTTGGGGTCTTCAGGTTGTTCTGACTGAGGTGGGAAAGAGGAAGAGTCATCCATCAAGGTGATAACCGCACACCCCTTATGTCCTGCCGACCTAACCCTCTTCCTCTTCCCCTGCACCCGCTCCTTGTCTGAATCATCTGTGTAACCCCACCCCTCCCCCCAATCGAGCTCAATTGCACGCCCTCTGTTTGCGTGACTGCTGTGTTGCCTTGCGGGCTTACCCAGTAAGACCGAGCCACACCTCACCACTCAATTGCCTGGCATTGCCCTCTGATGTGATTTGTTCAAGGCAGAAGTCGACGAAGCCCCCAGAAGTGAGCATGAGTTGTTGATGGTGTCGGAACTGTTGTTTTGGTTATTGTTATTATTATTATTGTGATGGTGGTTGATGTCGTCGTCGTCGTCGTCGTCGTCGTCGCTGTACCTGGTCTCTCCATGTCGCAGAGGACCTTGCTTCTCCTCCTAGCTTCTTCATGCGCTACCAAGCCTAAGGGAATTATACATGCGGAGGGTGTGTGCTTAATTATCGCGATGACATTCCACGCTTTACCTGCAGAGTCTACGGATACCTGGGCTTGGAAAGCACAAAGAAATCTGAAAAGAGAAGGAAGGGGGTTTGTGTCACAGTGGCTTTGGGCATTAAACACTTAAACATCCCAGCACTCCATGTACCTCATCCTCAGAAGTTACATGCTTCCATAATCGATACCTCCCCGCTCTCTTCTGCATACCTCATCCTCTGCCTTTGTGTCTCTAAGCGCCAGGTTTCCAAGTACGCAAGTGCACTGCTGGGAACCTTGCCTCGATCCAATGGATTCTCAGGTTCCGCAATCACAAAGGCTGCGTAAAGCCAGGTCGTCCATGCACTCGTCCTACCTAAGGTAGGCAATCTTCAGCCATGGAAGGTCAGGTACCTAAAGTAGTTAACGTAGTGGGTAGGTAGGCAGCCAGCCTCTGCCCTACCGTCGTGCCCCTCCCCCGCTGCCCCTCCATTCAAATGTTTGGGAGGAACTGGCCACGGGAAGGAAACCAGCGACAAATCCGATCGGACGATGAAGCGTTTTGCTTCCATTCTTCGACAGACTTTAACTAACCCGACACAATTCGCTGCAATTGCAAGAGGGGAGAAGGATTGGAATAGACCTGCTTGCTTTGACAACGCCAATGCTAGCGGGACGAACGGGCGGTAGAACCATTGACTTTGACAATGCCTCTCAATTGAGTCTCGCAGGGATCAACTACCTAGGTAGGTGATCTTTGCTCCATCTCTCACTCTCCCTCTCTCCCCCCCTCTACTACGTACCTCCTCTGTGCCTCACGGTGAGATGGACTAGGTACGGAGGTACTTGGTGGTGACGGTGTGCCTCGCGGCAACGAGCGACGGAACCGCCTCCGTTCCCTCTGTCTCTCTCCCCCCTCACCTGATGCCACCACAAACACCGCTTCTGGCATCATGTCAATGGCCCCGTCATGGCGTTTGAGAAGTTGGAAACCAACCCTCTTTTACCTCCGTGCCATGCGTGCCTCTTCTCCGCCCAGGAAACCACGAACGAACGGTCAAGTCTCTAGGGGACGGACACGACCATGGGCACGACGGGCTCGAAAACGAACCTACGAACGGTGCATCTGACGGCACGTAGCAGAGGTGTGTGTCAAGCGAGGTGGGCGGGTGACAACCTGTCTCTGATACTGGGTCTCGAATCCGAGTCACTTGCTCGCCGCCAGACGCCCAATCAGCCTCAGCTTTTAGCTTCCAACAGGCTCTGGGCCACGCCCCCCAAAGTCCTCACACAGGCTCACTCACTCACTCAAAGGCTAGGTAGAGTTGAATCCCCATCCGGCCCGGCCCAATCAACTCCGCTCTGGCTGCCGCACTGCGCATGTATCTCTGCTGCCGTACCTGATCGATACCCAAGACTGGGGCCATGCAATGAGGAACAGCCCGAACCAGGCGGTTGCCTACTCCATTTCACATGAACGGTTTGCTGCTGTGTACAGGGAATCAAGAAATCGTTTCATGTCTCACTTGCTTTGTCGTCGAAAGGTACCTAGAATAGGCAGGCAAGTATAGAGTCAGGCTGGCTGGCAGTCGATATTGGCGGTGCCATTGACGATAGTCGAAGGAGGGGCGGGCTGCCTTGTTCTCGTTGAGAAGATGGGATGGCACAGGAAACGTACCAAAGTACCGCCAGCCAAGCAGCAGCGCCGTTAAGCTTTCGGCTGCAGTGGTCAGCCTCGAGGCAATCCTGCCAGTGCCCTGTCTCATCACCTTGTTTATTACATGGTAATTATGTATAAGCCGAGCTAACCTCGACTACTGCTAGTAGATTGACCGGTCTGGGTGATGAATTGAGTTGAGGTATGGGTCTTTCTTCCGACACTCGTCCGAACTGATGCTATGAGTTGCTTGGAACTAAGACTACCGCAGTAGCAACAGCCAACAGGTCCATCTCAGCAAAGAGGCGTGAGTGTGATTGCGACAATTATGGGCAATTGGCATGGCTTTTTGGAGCCTGGCCATGCAACCTTGCCAAGGCCTAGCAAATCCGATGAGGGGCAGAATCTAGAAAGACCCAAACAAACGCACAAAGCGATGGAGTAATATGTACACTACAGCAAGTACAGCGCAGGGGGTTGCCTGGCACGAATCTTGACGCAAGGTGCCTTGCTTTACCACGGCGCATTGGATTGGTTCATGGTGGTGCACATTGGCCTCAGAACCGTGGAGCGAGAAGAATATACACCACTTGCGGTATCCGTACCATCATGGCAGAAGTGGAGAGAGTCCAAGGGCCAAGGCTACCTTGGTTGCTGCTGGTGAAGTTTTGCTTGGAAAGCATTGTCGCATTCGATGCGCCGCCACACGTTGTAACTCCAGATTGGCCTGGCACGCCTACTATGTAGACAGACTGAATATGACAGGGAATTGGCAGGCATGGAACGCAAGGCATTGTGCAGAAACGACGGGCAATCTTACGGTATGTGATGCAGCAGCCGTGTTGTTAGCCGCAGGCAAGGGAAGGCAAGGGGGCCATTTGTCGGCGAATTCAATTCGACCATGTCAACAAAGTCGGGCAGAATCAGGGACGAAGAGGCAGTCTATGGATGGATCAGGATCATGGAGCCGCAGAGGGCACCTCATGGAAAGGCGGGCACAGCGCAGACAGCAGACACGGCAGGCTAGGCTGGCTGCTGGCTGCTGGCCGCTGGTCCCTTGTCGATGCTGGATGCTGGATGCTGGATGCTGGCTGGGGATCCCATCGATTCGGTCAAGACACACCTTGACACCCAAAATTTCCCTTTTGATGCCGCTGATGCCAGTCGCTGCAGGAAGCGTGGCAATCGGCAACGGGATGGCACAAGAAGGAGAGGCGTACAGGGTGTCCATGTTGGGCAGTTGCAATTGACCAATGGGTGGGCTCATTGACCGCTCAATTGCGCATCCAGAGGCTCCATTCTCCTGCCTGGAGAATGTCAATCTTGCACACTGGTTTAGCTCCGCAGACTTGAGCACTAGACGACGGGTCCAAGTCAAGTCAACATGCTAAAACACAGAAATGCAGCTCGGAAAACCGTGTGACGGAATGAATGAGTGGCACTTGAAGATCCAGCAGGAGGAGAGAGGCGGACAACAAGAGCGGAAAGTGCGGTGAGGGCGCGTAAGCCTCACAGCTACCTAAGGTAAGAAGCAACAAGAAGGCCAATTGACAAGGCAATGGGCGGCCTCCCACGTGCTATTAACATTGAGTTGGCCTCAGGTGCAGGGCCGAACGAACACCAACACCAATAAGAACAAGAACAACAAGACCTGGACAACGTCTCCTGTCCAATTCAATCAAGCAACAGGACAGCCCTCGGTGCGTACCTTGGGTACTTTGGTTCCGTACAAGCAGAGACATACAGTTGTTTGCACCTTGGCATTGTACAAAGTGAACAACCGAAAGTAAGTAGAGGCGGGGGCATCCGTTGTGGCAATGAGATGGACCTTGGGCGGGATGGCGCGGCCAGCAGCCAGAGTGACTCTTCCATGTGCGCAGAGTTACGAAATGCAGGAGTCACCAGTTGGGTTGTGTGAGTCACAGGGAAAAAGCGACTCTAAATTGAGGGATCATGGAGACTTCCATTGGACTCTGGAGTGCGTGAGTGCTTCTCGTTGGTCTTGCCGCGCCTCAAGTCGAAACACTTGACCCCTGCAACTCTTTTCAGTCTAGCGTGATCGTCGTCTATCGATAAGACGTCACGACAAAGGTGGGACCTTGCTGCACCTGCGGGCTGCGGCCTAGGTATCTACCTACCTACGCCTACGAAGAGGCGCCGCCGTTACTCAGGACGGGAACCATCAATTTTTGGTACAGCTGCAACGAGTAGGTAAGTACCGCTTGGGATCGGGTACTTCTTGCCCACCGTTCGCACCTTGGCCCCTCAGAATCTGGGCATGTATGTTTCCAATGGGAAGTCCCATTTTGACCTTTTGTACACTTACAATCCAGGGAAGGTAACTAATTCCCATGAGTCCCAGGCACCGTTCCTCCCGCTCTATGACTTTCCCCTAAGTACCCAAATAATAACGTAAGACTCAAGGAGGCAAGCATCGAGTGATGCTCTAGCATCCATCGCCTTCCACGTCCTTCGATGGATTTGCGAGAATGAACGACCCGAGCAAAGAAAAGGAGCAACGACCTGGACCGAACGACGCGAGCGCGCATCTCTGGATGCCCTTCGCCAGTCGACAAGGCCCTAGTCTTTCCATTGCCAACCCCCTGTCTTTCAAGGACTGAACAGTAGTTACGTCCAAGCCCTGCCGAAATAAGGACCTTGCATGGCAACGCACCCAGTCCGCAAGCCAAACATCTCATTCGGCAATGGACCCAGCTCAGCGCTTCCAACGCCATCTTCCACCTGCTAGGTACTCCGTACATTCCTCTTCATCATTTGCATCTCGGCCAGCCTTGATCCAGCCCGCGAACGCTCGTCAGCAAACATCTGCCATACCTGAGAACAGGAGCAATAGACTGAGTTGATTCAATTGCATTTTTAAGAAATGGCGAGCGGGTGAAACGCCGACTTCACAATGATAGAGCATACCTAAAGCTCACGACACGAGCATGATGGACACTCAGCACCCTTGTACTGCATAGCAGAAGAAGTATTCGAGCCATCCCCTTGGATTGGAAAGCTGCGAGTGCAGACTTCTGGAAACCCCAACGCTGCAACGGGGCAAGGTCTAAATCCTCCGACGCCCCGAGCTTCCCGGAAGGACGAGCTGTGGCGTCGCCATGCAATAGATTGAGAGTTCAGCGATGACTGTGGCAGCAATGAGATAGGTACAGCAGCTGTGCGTAGAGTCAAAAATACATTTGTCAGTGACATCTCATTTGCTGCCGCCCAGAACGCTCCGACGTCCTGGAACAGAATACGACGTAAGGTCTCGCACCTGCGGCCCGCAAGCAAGACAAGAGACCGACAGGCGAGTCTGAAGATGGAAGGTATCGGGACACCGAACTTTAGGATCAAATCGGTAAGCAATGTGCAACTGAGTCGCTGTCGAGGCGAGTCTTTGAGATGACCGTCTCTCGTCTTAGGTCTAGGAAGCCTTGACATATCATTTGTCACAAGGACATTGGACCATACCTAAAGTTTCTCTTTTTGCTTGCAGCAACGGCTTGGTCGATAAGTTGCGGAAGAAACGGCGGGAAAACAGAAGCACTCCTCGCCAATGACCACAGCTCTCTCGGCAGCATTCGGACGCGCAATCGATGCTGGCTGCCTGCTTTGAATCCGAGGCGCGGTTCTCGCGGATAGCAAAGGCAACGAGACATTTCGAGTTTGACTAGCCGGGCCGCTTTGAAATCTTGAGAAAGCCCAGATCATCGCCCCAGATGGCCCCCCCGATCAGAAGGGCTCCAAAAGACCCGAAGGACCCCCCAACTGGCCAAAGGCGCACTGTGTCCAACGGTCTAATTCAGGCGAGGTATCCTGATTACAATGTTGGAGCATCAACGGAAACTTATCGATAGCGGGAACGGGCGCTATCAGTAGCAGCCGCCGTGCAGCACCACATCACCAGGCCCTCGGGTGGTCGGTGGTGGTTTGGTTCATCCTCGTTGTCAGCTGGCGACCACAACCTCTACCTCTGCTCGCTATGGTTGTCTACCAACCTGAGATGGTGTCAATGATGCGCTCGACGACCACACCCTTGCCAACCAAGACTGCGGCCACATGACTACCCCCCAAGCCCCCTCCTTGCCACCAACCGACCGACTACGACTGCGTGGTCTCGTGGGTTGGACAAGACGCGCCGCTTGGGGGGCTTGCGGGCAGGCATGAGACGGCAGTAACGGCGCTCTCTGGCGCGGATTCCGTCTTCTGGACCTCGACCTCCGCATCCTCTCTCGTAGCCCGTCGGCGCATTGTCGTCATGTTCGTTCGTTCCCCTTGGTGGGTTTGATGGCTTCACCATTGTAGTAGCGGGATGATCACGAGGCCCGAATCTCAAGTGAGACCACCATCCCACACCTTGTCCTACTATGGACAGCTTATCTCACGATAATTACTGGCGATAGTTATCGGAATAGGACTTCGCCGTAGTGTGTCCGTTGATCAATCAGGCTTCGCTCACTCTCACCCCCCCCCCCCCCTTTCCCAATTGGACCCCATCAGATGCCAAAAAAGGGTGCTCGGAATTGACCACTTCTATGTACTGGCCTCGCGCATATCTACCACACTTACCCACGAACCTTGGCGATTCTTCACGGCACTAAATTGCGACATCAGCAATCCACTTCCCAACACCCTCCTGGCGTCTCTCAGTGAGTCGAGCGACATCGCAAGGCAAGGGATTACGGACGTCTTCTGGCCCAACTCTCCCGAGAAGAGGGGAGGGAGCGAAAGGAGGGGTAAAACGGAGATGGCGGTCAACTGATTCGAATTGTTGGCCTAACCTGTAACTCGTTCTCATCTTCATATCGGCCGCGGGCAGTGATTTATCGACGAGACGCGCGATACGCACCGCCATGACCATATATCGCCATGATTGGTTCAACATTGTTGGCCCAGCGTCCACTTTCAATCCATCTTTTTCCTTGCTTCTTTTCTTTTCTTCTTATTTGCCTTACCTTAGCTTGCCATTGACTGCTGGATCTAGATCTTGTCACAAGACAGCCAAGTGCGGTTGGTCAATGTCACCGACAATACCTACGTCGCCCGCCATCCGCCGCCACAAGGAGGGGGATAAGGGTGAAGCGGCGGTATCGATATCCAGCCTTCCTTATCACCCCTCCTTCTTATCTTATCCCCTCCCAACCGCACCCGCATTTCTCTTACTCCTCCCACCCCCTCAGTACTCTCACATGTGAAGGTACGTGGGGCACAGAGTGCGGCATACAAAACGGCCTGCCTGATCTAGCAAGCAGGGACGTAGACCCAGTGGGTCAGCCAGGGCCCAACGGGGCCTGGATTCCTCAGCAAAAGAGCAAGACAATTCTCAGCATGTGTGCATACTGGTAGTGGAATTTGCTTCATCATTGCCCTACTCCGTACACAAGTTGAGTGAATGAGCCGTAATTGATGAATCTGAATATGATCAGTCAATTGGCCTCGGAACTCATGTCCGAATCTATGCTGGATTCATCCTTCAAGAACATTATGTATCTCACAAAGCTTGTCAGGTGAAATGCGGCCAAGTCCAAACTTGAGACAAAATGTCTCGGCTGTACGAGAAATGGACCGGATTTCATCAAGGACTGTACGAGATACAGCTCGTCACATGGTGCGTCAAATGTGCCAACCCCCCCCCCCCCCCCCGGGGAAATGCGTGGGGGGGCACCTCAAATACCTCGACTGCCACAGTCTGTGTTAATTGAGGCAGCTACTCGAAACGTTAGCCAGGGCAGTGTGCTTGAAAGTTCTGTCCTAATTATGGCACGATGTTGCCAATGAGGTGTCATGATTCCCTCACTTTGTAGACTTTTCGACGCGGTCCTAGACATCATTGGGTACCTGAAGACATCAACGTTCTCAGAACTCAAGGTCATGTTGATGAATTTGATCAGCCCAGCCGCTGATAGCCCTGCAATTGAGATATGAATCATGGAACATCACTTCAAAATATTCACTGGCCATGTTCGGCCCGTGCAAGTGTCTTAATGGCTCCAGCAGCAAGACAATTTTGATACCGCTTCGTTCATGATATCTGTTTCGATAACCACATGCTCAAAAAATTCATGCATGGAAGTCCTCTATGTGTGCTAGTCATATCAATACTTGCAGGAGCCATAAACCATACATGAAAAACGTTGGCGAGCCTGTTCCCACTATTCCTCCAGTTTGTCAAGCTCTCAGCAATGACGTCTGCGGTCTATCTTGCATTCCGGTCCAATATCTAATCAAGTCTATAGACGAGCGCAATGAGCACTACAACGCAGCAACGCGATATCCTCGTGACAATGCCTGAAAGTGATACTCGGCATGAACGCATTCTTAAAAAGACGGGTCGATTGGTATATCCCAGCTGATCTGACCCCACAGCTTGCCTCTTCCATAACTTTTGTCTCTTCAACTTCAATATCATGTCGACGATGCTAAGGTAGGCTCCATGTCAGAAACCATGTTGTTCGTAGCTCAGACGTCCATGGATACTCGACAGCTCGACCCTCGTTTTCACAACCACGGTACCAAATCGAAAGCTCAGTCTAACGAAATGGCCAAGTCTACCAGGCTGATGGAGTCCGCCAAAAGAGATCCTCAGTAGTGGGTGCTTCGTTGATGTAGCGATCCATTAGACCTGACCGCTAAGCCTCAAGGCTTTCTTTCAGATATCCTATTGCACATGCCAGGTATGCATAGAATCTCTCGCTGTCGTTTAACTTCTCGGAACAGTAGATGACACTGAGAACTTTATGCATCATGATCACCATCCAAGTCGTCGTCTAAAGTTGGGATCAAACCCTGACGGCCATTCGACATTGCCGCTACCTTGCGTAGGAATTGCTATGCTTACGCGTAGCTTCTCAACGAGGATAA